TCTCTCTCTCTCTCTCTCTCTCTCTCTCTCTCTCTCTCTCTCTCTCTCTCTCTCTCTCTCTCAATTTGGAGCAAATCTCGCTCAATGAGTGTTTGGTGTGTTCTGCTGGGTGCCAGCTTCATACCAAAGCATCACGTGGATCATTAGGCGGTCTCTAAGTGGCTAAACGAGAGGCGAAATGAAGGCAGTTCCTTTTTTTTTTACTTCTGGCAAGCGGCTTTTGCACAGCTCGAGTTGTCGTTGTTGTTGGCATTTCGTTACGTTTCGATCTTTTCAACTTATCTACCCCTTTGGTTTCACCGTCAAGTTCCTTTGGGTGAAACACCGTACCGAAAATTTTACCGATTTTTTTGACGTCTCCATATTCCCTGGGTTCGCTGTCTGTACCCTCCAATCAGCAGCCCGCAGCTTGTGCTGTGTTTCTCGGAAGCCGAGGAAACTTCATGCCATGATTCGTTTTAACCCCGTACCACCCCCGTTCTTGTCGCGCGTCGAACACTCCTGCTCTGGCACCAACCAATACCACCGGCGACCCGCAGTTATCGAAACGCCTGACCTATGCCCTCCGGCACGGCGCGGAGAAGCTCGGTCTCCGCCTTCGCCCCGACGGTTTTGTGAGTCTGGACGAGCTCCTCAGCAAGCCGAGCTTTCGCGGAGTGTCGAGAGAGCGGGTGGAACAAGTGGCGAGTTATTGTACAAGACACTTGGAAAACATAAAGTTGTATTCCTTTCTTTTCGTGTATGTTCCTTTGGGAGAGCGCTCAGGAGAGCACAGCAGTGTGCAGCAGGACCAACTCACAGCTGATTGGCACACGCTACCGTGTAGTTGACTCGAATAGCCCAGCGAACCTCAACGACAATAGAAAGGAAACTACACAAATCTGTAGACAGTCTTACAACTAGCGCCCGCACTTATGAACTTAAGAACCTCTATTTGTAGTGTTGTCCGAGGCTGGGGTTCTAACTGTAGTCGTCGGGTCATGCTACAAATGGCCGCTAAACAGATAATAGTTTAGGGGTTCTTCACCGAACTCGCAAATATGCTCAAGCTCTCAGATTTTGAGTTTTTCGAGGCTATACTCGTATCACCTTCTTCACTGTTAGGCACAGTGCTTTAGTACCGCAAACTGTGTGTGTGACCCGCCTGGTGCGTCTAAAATTGCGCCGAAAGTTGCAAGGACCGACTCCCGAACGAGTGGGTATGACGAAAAAGAAAGAGAAACAAGTGGATTTTCCTTGCCATCCTGCCAGCGATAGGACCAGGAGGTGTTTTCTCTCGCAAATCCGCCGTCATGCTTTCCATGTTTTCATGGGGCGGTTTTGCGACTAAACATGGAAAGGACCTACCGCATGGTCGCATCTCACCCAGTTCCGCCCGCAGCTTGTCGCGTTTTCGCTTTGGTGGTCGACGGCGTTTTCTTCCGTTCGTTGTGTCAGCTCTTTCCTTTTGGCCTACCGTAAACCGTAGACCGTAGACCGTATTCCGTATTCCGTATTCCGTATACCGTGACTTCTTTGGCCGCCGTAAGCCAAAATCCGCTACATACTGCAAGGCGCGGTGGATGGGAGAGAGAGAAAAAGCGCTCGACCACACGGAACGCGTGGGCCGTACTCCCCCTTACTACACGTACCCCCCCCCAATTCCGCGTGGTTTCTGCCCAATATGTTGCGCACGCGGCATTCGTCTGTGACTATAATAAACAGATTGCGGCGGACGAGAAGGGCCGCATGACCATCGCAACCTACCCGGTGTCAGGAGGAGAGGCGGCGGGCAGCGCCACCGCTTGTGCCGACCCTGGCGCGGCCACGAACCAGGCCGTCTTCATTCGAGCCAACCAAGGCCATTCCATGAAGGGGGTAATCGACGAAGAGAAACTCCTTACTAGGGTCGAGGACGCGGCCGATGTCCCTGTCTGCGTGCACGGCACAAACCGCAAGAGCTGGTCCAGGTGAGGGGCGGGGGGGGGATACTCTTGTGTGTTTGCATGCCTTAGCGGTTAGACCATTGACCACGCGACCTCGCGAGAGGACGGAGCATTGGACCGATCACCGATGGCCAATTGTTCCTTTCTAATTTGGCAAAGGTGGATGCAAGATGTTTTCCCCTACCCTGTCGATGACACTTCCCGCTGGGGGGGGGGGGGGCC